GAGTGATGGATATAAAACTGCGTGTCAGAGTTCCATGAACTGCTTGTCCTTGTCTACAGACTTGATTTAAACATCCAGGGTGGAATCTTTCCTCTGGGTTTTGTTCACTTTTTCAATCAGATTTTTTGGTCTGATTTGGGAAGTTGAGCTTGTTAGGGATTTCCTCCTGGCCTATCAAAAACATTTCTCAGGAAAGTACAAGAAAAACAAACGTCTACCGATGAGACACCGAGTTTGGAGAGCAGAGTCTGGAGACTTCACAGTATGGATTCTTGTTTAAGTGTGCGGTTAATTAGCATTTGTTCATCGCAGGCATAAAAAAAGGGGCTGTGAACCAGGATGGAATGAACTTCAACAGTGGTTGCAGCACAGTGCTGATACTGTTGGTTTATTATATATAGAGAAAATGTGTGGGGTTCAATCCGACATCTATATTTTTTGTACATAAAATAATAAGATAGACTATGTCAAAGTATTTAAAATAGTACTTAACATTAACCTTTCTTAACTGGGTACATATTTATGTCCCAATACATATATTGACGGCTATTTATTGTTTTTAAGTGTAATGTAATAATACACACACGACTTGGAAATAGTTGGTTTTTTTCATTTTGTTTTCTTTCATATGTTGAACCACACATGTGTACAATCTCTGTATATTTTACACATTATGATTCATTTTTCAAATGGATATGATGCATGTTGACATAAACAACAGAACCAGTGTCAGTCATCTGTGCAGTAAATGTTACTTTCACTGCAGCACACTCTTGTTGGGAGAGTGTTTCCTCCACAGGCCAAACATCAGCTTCTCTCCATTATAGCTGTTGTTGCTGCTGTAAATAACGAGTAACTGCTTTCACAGAGCAGTCAGCTGTTTTCGTTTGGCTCTTTTTTTCTGGCACTGGAGTTTTTCCAGCTTTTGTCAAAACTACCAGCATTTGAATGGTTTGTTTAGTAGTTAATTTCCTGACACATCCAACTGTGCCAGGACTTTATTGCTTTCTAGACACATCTCTATCCTTCTTAATTTTCTTCTCATCGATTTATTTTTCAAAGCCCAAGTCTGCACAGGATTCCACAAATTATCACCACATTTAAACGCCAATCTTTTTTTAAAATGCTGGAATCATTATTCATGGGTTTGGCAAGTACTTGAGAGCGCCACAATTGTCAGCCCTGGAATCTGGATCATACCGGCCCCCAACAAAGCTGTGAGGCATTTGTATCATGATAACACAGACAAAAGAGTCTTTCAGATCATTACCCTGAACCTGAAACCAAAACCTCAGAGAGTCAGCTATTAGACGACTGTGATTTATTGAATTTTTTTTTCTTATTTGCCAAAAAACCTTTTCAGTTAATTTTTCACAGTGATGGCAGATGGCACCCTAGGCCAACTCCTATGCTGCCTGTGTTGTTGAAAAAGCAGCTGTGTGCTAAGTTGTTATTAACTCTCTACGTTAAACCAGTTCAACTGGACATGGAGTTCAACGACACGTTTTGACTTTCTCTCCCCTTCACTTTATATCATCTCATTTATCTTGACCACATTATTTACACATCCG